CCCCAAAACCCCAAAACCCCAAAACCCCAAAACCCCAAAACCCCTGAGATAGTAGATTAAATTGATGAACAGAATTAATTGATCGTCACTTTTAAGAAAAAGAAATTTTAAATATCTGATTCTAAAAGTTTCGGCTTTTGAGCTTTTTAGCTTTTTAGCTTAGCAACAGCATTTACAGGTAATGCATCTCATGATTGGAAGGACCCATTTTATCAAGAATCTTATCTTTTTCATCTCTTTGTCTAATCTGACGTTGATTGTTGCGATAGATGGAACTTTGCCACATGCTTCCATCCATTGTCTTATCATTGGATGATTCTCTAATGTTACCATATTGATATCAAAGACAACTCTTATCAGATTGTAGAATAGATAATCTTGGAGTGCAGGATGCTCTAAAAGATTAAATAAATATCCGTACCGTCTGAGTTAAAGAATTTTGTTCTCCTTTTCCCAAGTGTTTCTTCCAGACGATCATAAACCTTATAAAGATCTTTTTTATATTGTTTTTGTTCTTCAACAGTTCCTAGTTTCTTGCCTAATACTTTAGCATAAAAACAATTGAAGGCAACATTCCTAGTTGCTTCCCCTAGGTCTTCAAAGTCAACAAGGTCTTTCTCCATCTGCTCGTTCTTCTCCTTATCATCCACAGGCCAGGCAGGAGTCTTGAGCTTCCTTGACTCAATAAGGTACTTGCAAATATCAACAGATTCGCCCATGCAGTGATCTCCGTCCTTAATAGCAGGGATCAGCATCTTTGGGTTGATCTTCTTGTACCATTCCTTCTTGTTCTCACCGTTAATGGGGTTCATTATTCTTTCTTTATGAGGGATTTTAAGGAGGGTCAGAACAGCTATAGAGTTAAATGAAGAGCTTACACATAACAACCCTTGAGTAGGGAGACAGTAAGTTGCAGTAGAGGGTGAGGTCTTGAGACATTTATTTTAATTGATCGTAACTTTATTTTCAGGCTTTTGTAGATGCAGGGGTTTTGGGGTTTTGGGGTTTTGGGGTTTTGGGGG